TGAAGGCCAAAAGTGACCATTTTCATTAGAGACCTATATTACAATTGGGTGGTGGGGGGGATATCAAGAGACGTGACTATTTCTGACTAAAATATGTCATTTTCACTGGGGGGGGGCAGGAAATGAGATTTGGCTTTTTTAGGCTAAAAGATGTCATTTCTGTTAGATGCTTAGGACAAAAGTCATGAGATTTGCGTTTTGTTAAGGCCTGAAAAAACCCAATTTTCACTGTCCCTCCTCACTAGAAGCTCATTTAACCCCGGATGACTCCGCTCCTTGTTAGTCCACGGCTGAGACCAGAGAGGACATCTCTCCATGAAGAGCAATTAACACAGGTGTTAATTAGGGCCAGGTCCAGTTGCGCCCGGGAACCGGGACACTTGGGTTCTCCAGGAGAGTGGCAGGGACGGGGAAAGGACACTTGGGTTTTCTCAGAGGGAGAAGAGGTCACCTCAGACTCGGCAGCCCCAGCCCTGACACCTCCTGCTGGGGCTCCCCGTTGGTTCTCAGCCGGGGGTCCTCATGGGGGGTGTGGGGGAGGAGGCCAGGGGAGGGGGTTGGGGGGCAAGGGAAGGGCGACGGCAACAGTGACAGTCTCCCCCCCCCATAAAGGAGCGAGCACGACTCCGCCCCCGCGCCCGTGTAGTGTTTCCTACTTTATGGAGGGGGTGGCTGGGAGCAACGGAGACGCGGGGCAGGGAGGGGCCCAGGTGTCTGGGGAGGAGCGGCGGCCAGGTAGGCCTCTGGGTACACCGGCATTGAAGAGGGAAAAGGGAACCCTGGTGTCCAGGCACAGGACAGTGGACCTAGCCTCCAGGGATGACGGGGGTCCCCAGGCATCTGGGCACAGCCGGGGGACGTGGCAGCGGAGATCCAGGTGTTCAAGGAGGTGTTGGCAGTGGGGTGGAGGGAACCCAAGCGCCTGGGAACCAGGCATCCAGGGGTGGGAAGATAAGAAGCAGGGAACCCAGGTGCCCAGGCCTCAATGTAAAGGATGCAGGGAGATGGGAGGACCCAGGTGTCCTGAACCTTGGAAGCAGAAGGAGGAAGTGGGGGCTCCGGTACCTCGGACAATAAAACCCTTCTGGACAAAGCTCCCGGCTCCCTGGACTCTGCTGTGGGGGCGATGCGGCTGGCTCTGGGGTGGGGCACAAGGGGCTGGGTAAATATAACAGGGCCCCCATGATGTGGGTGACTCGGTCTCATGGGGGGAAACTTGCATTGGGGTGACGCACATGTGGGGGACCCATATTAGGGTGACGCACACAGAGGAACCACATTAGGGAGGCACATGAATAGGGGACCCATATTGGGGTGGCATATGCACATGGGGGACCCACACTGAGAAAACAAGGGAATAGGTGACCCATATTGGGGTGACACACACAGGAACCATATCAAAAAGAGACAGAATAGAAGATCCCTATTGGGGTGACACATGGGGGACCCATATTAGGGTGACAGCTATGCATGTGGGAGACATACTGGGATGACATGCGCATACATAGGGGCTCATATCTGTGCGACACAGATACACATATGGGGAGAGGCAACACTGGGACCCATATCAGTACCACAGATGCATCTAAGGAGGACCCATATTGGGGTTACACACATACACACAGAAGATATTTGAGCAAGGGACCCATATAGGGGTCGTGCACACAGGGAACCCATATTAGTGTAACACATGAACATATGATCCATACAGGATCATACACACACAGGAACTATATTGAGGCAACACACAAACGCGGGACCCGTATTAGAGTGACACATTCGGGAGACCCCATATTAAGGTGACACAGGTACATAAGACCCACGTTGGGGTGACAGATAGGGAAGGCGACTGGCAGACCCATACAAGTGATGCATGCACATGGGGAACCTATGCCTGTGTAACAGATACACGTATGGCTGACTCATACTGGGATCTCACGCACATGGGAACCACGGTGGGGGGGACACACGAATGGGGGACCCATAGGAGAGTAATACACATCATGTACGGGGGGTCCATATTGGTATAACACAGGTATGTGTATTGGGGACCCATGTACAGACTGCGCGTGCACACAGAGACCACACTGGGGAGACCCATGACTAGGGGACCCATATTAATGACACATACAAGAGGACCCATATTAGGGCAACAGACTACATTACCTGCAACACAAACTATAGGGTGACAGACCCATGGGGACCCATATTGGGAAGACACATGAATGGGGGACCCATATACCCATATTGGGAAGACACCCAAACATGGGGGACCACTGCAAGTGTAACACACATATGGGGGACCCCTATGGGGGTAATGCAGTTGCCCCCCGTGTGTCACACTAATAGGCAGCCCCCCCATGTACATGTCACCCCCGTAGGGTTCCCTGAGAAAATCCCCCCCCACACACTGTGTGATGCCCATAGGGATCCCCCACACAGGTGTGTTACCCCAGTATGGTCCCCCAAAGACCCAGTCCCCCCACTGTATGACCCACATATGCAGGTGTCACTCCAATATGGGTCCCCCCAGGAAATCCACCCCCCATTCTGTGGTCCCATGTGGGTCCCCCATACACAATCACCCCCCCATATGGGGCCCCCAGGAAGTCCACCCCATTATGACCCCATGTGGGTCCCCCATATGCAGGTCACCCCAATATGGGCCCCCCCCAAACCCACCCCCATTGTGTGATGCCCATATGAGTCTCACTCCAATACGGGTCCCCCCCCAAAATCCAACACCCCATTGTGTAATGCCCATGAGTCCCCCATCTGCAAGTGTCTCCCCTCCATAGGAACCCCCCCCAAAACAAATCCACCTCACCATTGTGTGACACCCATGTGGGTCCCATATATGCAGGTGTGTCACCCCAATGTGGGTCCCCCCAGAAAACACACCCCTCCATTGTGTGATGCCCATACGGATCCTCTCCTGTGCAGCTGTCACCCTAATATGGGTCCCTCCAGAAAATCCAGCCTCTACACTTCTACCCCTACCACCTTCCTCATAGGGTCTCCCCCAAAAGATTAAGGACCCACTTGTGCCCCCAATAGGGTCGCCCCCATATCTGCTCCCCCCAAAAGATCAAGGCCCTGCCCCATGTGCCCCCAAACAGTGCCACTCCAATACCTGTCCCTGTAAAAGATCAAGGACCCCATGCAACATGCCCCCTTGTGGACCTCACGTTCCCCCTACAGTTTCCCCCACCTCCCCCAGTTCTCACCCCAATATTCTTCCTCCCCACACAGACCCCATTAGAAGTGTTCCCCCCTCATCAGGGCCCCTACCATGCATGTCACACTGATATGGGTCCTCTCTCTGTACTGGCCGGGGCTGGCTCTGGGGTGGGGCACGGCAGGGGCTGCATGTAATGGGGACCTGGGGATGCAGTTGACACTAGGGTGGGGCACACCACGGGCTGGGTGTAACAAGGACCCAGTGATGCGAATGGCTCTGTGGGGGGCGGCGGGAGTTGAGTTTTACAGGGACCTGGCGTTGCAGCTGGCTCTGGGGCGGGGCATGATTAGGGACTGGGCATAACAAGGACTCATAGTTTCACAGAAACTCAGTGATGCAGCTGGCTCTGGGGTGCAGCACAGCCACATATAACACCCCAAGGAAGGCGTTACCTGGAGCCGAGATGCAGACGACTCTGGGGTGGGATCCGGGGCCAGCACAGAACAGCCACACAGGAAGCTGCACTTGGATTGGTTGGCAGAGGGGCAGCAAGGCAGAAAGCGACCAATCAGATGCCCCCCAATTGAGACCCAGATGCTGGGGTCCCTGACCAGCCACACATCCAACCCCCTCAGCTGGGGGGCAGGGGTGGGGGCTGGAATGAACCACGACGACTGCGGGGGAGGGAGGCAGGTTGTTTTTTTTCCCTTCATTTTTTGTTTTTTTTGTCTTTTTTTATCTGTAAAATTCACAGAAAAAAGGAAAAAAACCAAAAAAAACCCCCAAACGTATTCAGGACCCAAAAGGAAGAGGAGGCGGGAGCCATGTTGTCACTGCCGACGACCCCCCCCAAAAATAAGCCATTTTCTGCCCGGAATGAACCAAAACCGGGGGGTTTTGGGGGTTGGTGTGTGTGTGTTGGGGGGAAGGTGGATCTAGGGGGACCTGGAAGAGATGGAGACAGAGAAAAAAGAGAGGGGGTTAATTGGCCAGGGAGCCTTGACCACACCCCCTTCTGAAGCAAAGCGC